TAATATAGGTCACCCTGGTATCTCAATAGTATGGGTAAATGGTCTTGCAATATTCCTCTTGTTCGGGTTATAATATGCAATAAAAATAATGTAGATAGAAGTACTGAAACTTGAAATTTTTTAAAATTTCACAAAATCACTACACATATTTACTTCATTTGTCAATGGGAGTAAATGATTATAACAGTTCTTTGTAACTTATAAGAGCATATATATTATTGAAAATAATTTATTTAGAAGAGAGTTTATGAGAACTATTGAACATGTTTATTTTTAGCATTTTCTAACTTGTCTCTGAAAATCTATGAAACAATATCTAAGTAGACCTTCGATTAATCTTTTCAAAATAATGTTTCCTTTCATTAGTCTCAGCATTTAATCATTTTCTTCATAATATCTCATTTGATATAAATAATTTAACTCAATAAAAATATACATATGTTAATCTCTTCAACCATCATTATATAAGAAGATAGAGCACAAAATTAACTTGCCATATTATCTTTTCTTTTTGTTTTTTAGTATATACTTGATTTCTGTATTAAATTGAATAAGTCCAAAAATATTTATATACATCTTGATAGAGCTGAAAAAAAGAATATCTAAGTAAGAGTTAGTCCTTTTCTGATGCATACAAGACATTGGATCGTTTTGTCAATAATTGATTTTTTATATATTTTTCATTATGTTTTTTTGCATATTTTTATTTTGATGTTTGTTCAAATTTGGAATTTCATTTAGATTCATTTTTTTGCATTCAAAAGTGTATGAGATTAGTCATGAAAATGATTTTTAAATTTAAAAGAAAAAAGAAAGGATCAAAAAGAGAACAAATTGAAATATACTCAATTAGAGTTTGATAATTATGAATAAAATACAAGTCATCTATTATCTTTTCAAGGAAAAGAAACACGACACAATATTAACTATTATCATTCAATCTTTTGTTGAATCACAATTGTTATTATCCAATTTGTGCCAGCATTGAGTTATAGATCAAGCAGAATGATATCGAATAGAAAAGTTCGAATAAAAATTGATTTTGTATGAAAATGTAACTTAGTGACATGCATTTTTGTTATATGTTGTTGTTTTTTTTTTTTTTCTTTCTGCTGTTTGACTTGTTCTGATAAGTCATGACACATTGATGTATCTATGTTCTCTTTCAAGTAATGACTTATCTTGTTGGTTCCTTTGGATCTCTAGATTCTCTTTTGGTTTCTGTTTCTCTCAAGTCAATAAAACAAGTTATTCACCTTGATCTCACCATTGTTTATTACGCATTTCGTAATATATGAGAGAAAAACAGTTAAAAAAATTCAGAACAAAACAGTAATGACTGGAAATTTCAGGTGTAAATTTACATTTGGGAATAAATAAATTGACTTAATAATATTAGATGAAACTAGGTAATTGACTCAAATAAATTATAGAGAGACGAAAACTATGTTTTGAAAATAAATTAACTTATAAATATACAGTAGAGTGCAAAAAAAATTGCCGTTTAGTGTATTGAGTTTCTTTAAAACTGTTTCGTACGTTCTTCGAGCGATTTTTCTCGAGTTGTGTGCAAGTATTAGGTACTGCCTTGGTACATTCAATGAGACGGCAATTGCTCGAAAACTGTTATGCATTTGCCCAAAAATGACTTATCATTCAAGCATTACGTGCATCTGATCTGACCAATAAATCATATTACATAATTGAAGTAATGATTATCGAGAAGAAGTTTGAAACTACTGTATAACAATGATCCTTATTCACATTGGTTATGATAAAATTTTCAAGATTGAGAAGCGTAACACTGTGTTATAATAAGGCTGACAATAGGATCGACCAGCCTTAAATAGGTAAAATTATCGTTTGGCTACTTAATAGCACAAGTCTGAATCTAGTTAAATTATTCTTCCAGACCATTCAATCAATTGATATGAATGAAAAACTTTAAGATATTGATTAATCAAAAAGATTCTGACCCGACAACTGGATTAAAACTGATGCGTAATTTGTAATTTATTTTATTCTTTCCAAGAACGTAAGATTATTATCTTCTTTAAACTCATAGACAATGCGAAAGTTTTAATGATTAATATATTTGTATAGTACAGTATCTGGGTAGTACAACAACATTGATAAATCATAATATCTGGTACTTCTCTGAGAAGAACTTTGAAAAGTCTATCGGCAATTATTTTTGCACTCTACTGTATATCATCATTTGAATCAGATGAGTATCTCTTCATATGAAAGCAAAATTGCAACAACAGATGTGTACACCAGAGATGTATCCAAGAATTTTCGAGTAGTGAGTAGCAATGGATAATTAAAAAATCTAGTCGACAGTATTTTCTTAGAAACTTATTCCCAGTACAAAAGCCAATGTTTAATGAATAGAAACTTGTCATCCACAATTACTAAGCATGCGCACTTGCTTTCTTTGTTCTATTTTACCAATTTACTCTTCAACTTTCAAATATTTGATTATTTTGTTTTTAAGAAGCCTGAATAAACAATAAATAGAATGAAATCATGTCATAAGTTACACATGAAAGATTTTAGCTTATGAGAAAACCTCTTCTGATGCTAAAAGGATTCTGAGTTTAAATGTTGCCCTCAGATAAAGAATATATAGACTAGAAAAATTCTAAGAGGATATTGATTCAAGTTGCGATTTGGCTCAAATATCGTTCTTTTACTATAATTTTTCTATAGGACTCTACTCTTTCAATGGAATCAAAGTTTCGAGTTATGACTTGAAACTTTGATTTACCGCAAAAATGTAGTCCTACAGGAAGATTGTAATAACAGAACGATATCTAAACCAAATGACAAGTTGAAAATATATCCTATTAGGATTTCTTCTAATCTATATATTCTCTATCTTTGGATAAAACTTGAGCTCAGAAGCTTTTCAGCATTTGAAGAGATTCTTTCCTTAGATAGCTTTAGTCATTTCAGCTCAATACAATTTTACATTCTTAGAAAATTCATTCAGCATTCTTTCACATTTCTCATTAGTGAATTTCAGTTCAGAAGTGAGTATTTTAACGAAAACTACCATTGGATCGTCACTATTGTGATCATTGATTCAATGAAAAAGATTGTAGAGTGATCTTCCTAAATCACTTATATAATTAGATCTCATTAAGATAAAGTATATTGAATTTGCATGACTTCATTCTTCAAATATGTATAGCTATTAAGATTTTTTGACATTTGCCAATTGCCATTGCCTCAATAGAATCCATGGACAATAGAATTATATTAGTAGTCATTTGCCACCTGCTGGTTACGTCACCGGATGAATATAACACATTGAAAGAAACAAATTTACTGAAACTTTTCTCACCGACTCTATTCTTCATATTAAATACAAATGTAATTTTCTACAGAATATTAAATAATCTTCTTCTTGCTTCATTGTTTTTTCAAGAAACATCGTTTAATATATCCTGAGTTCTACATCTTTTTACTATTAATTTATTTGCCTATGTTCGTATTCAGAGAGGTAAGGATTGTTTTTTGTGATATTTCAAGATCGATCATCGATTTATCTATATAGATATGCTTTAGAAAATGATTCAATATCAAGAGACTTATTTATTGAGTGTTTATAAAGATTTATTTTCATCTTAGATTAACTTGTGTTAACAAAAAAAATTTACCATTGAGAATAGAAGTATATATTGAGAACGACAGTTTATTTGTTGCTCTCTTATATGTCATTTCAGCTATCATGGTTTGCTTTATCTTTGTTCAGAATGATAACATTCAAATAAAATCTTCCATTATTATCTGCTTAGTTTTCAAATAAGACAAAGAAAATTGAAATGTACACATTTTTATTTAGTGTAATCAAATTTGAAGCTTCACTAAGAGACAAAAAAAGAACAGAAAAAACGTAGGTAATGCATGCTTTACATGAATAAATAATACACAAAATTGATTGTTGAAATAAAATGAAAGAGAAAGTTCATTAAGTTGTACATATTTGTCAATTATGTTTATTGACGTTGTTGATTGTTGCCAGCACCACCTTGTTGTTGGTTTTGTTGTTGATTTGGTTGATTTTGTTGATTTTGTTGGTTTTGTTGTTGTTTGTTTTGTTGATTTTGTTGTTGTTGTCCAGCTTGAATAGAAAAAACAAAAGATATTATATATTATTCTGCTCTATGAATAAAATCGATTTTGATCTGAATTCTTTAAAGAAAAAATTATCACTTGAATGATGTTGAAAAAACGTTTCCGGATATCTTTGATAGTTTTCCAAGATAAAAATTTAACTTTTTCATTATTTTGCTTTCACTAGTTTTTCTACACAATTATATTCAATAGTAGAAAATATATTAATATGTTCTCTCTTGACTCAACTAAGACTTTCAATTGAAGTTTTAGAATAAAAATAAAATAATGAATTTATTCTTACCAAGATTTTGTGCAGCTTGATTTGAACCAGCACCTCCTAATTGTTGATTTTTATTTTGTTGATTTTGGTTCTGATTTTGTTGGTTTGGATTTTGTTGATTTTGATTTTGATTTTGATTTTGTTGATTTTGATTAGCATTTTGTTGTTGATTGGATGACATTGTAAATGATTTTATTCACAAGAGAAAATAATTGTTTGTAGTTTGTTTGAAAGTTTTGTCTGTCAAATAGCGTTGAAGGTGCGTCTTATATAGGTAGGATACTACGCAATTTTTAAATTGATTATCTTCAGTACATAAATTTCTCAATCGCAATAGAGAGAACGAAGCAAAAGAAAAAGAAAAAGAAAAAGAACAAAAACAGAAAAGAAAAAGGCAAAGGTCTTTTTGTCGACGCAATTTCTCTTATACTGGATTTGTTTTTTGTCAGAAATGTTATTCTCTTCTATTTATTTTTGATATAATAATAAGAGAGGTGAATGAGAATAGATGTTCGTACTTTTTTCTATTTCGACCTTGTACTTCTAGAAATATAACCTATTTACGTACAACAATTTTATTTTGATTTTATTCAACATCGTCATTTGTAATTATTTCTTTACCCTCACAGTAGTCCTAGAATATCATGATGAAACAACTAAGGCAAACATAATATAGGTCACCCTGGTATCTCAGTAATATGGACAAATGGTCTTGTAATATTCCTCTTGTTCGGGTTATAATATGCAATAAAAATAATGTAGATAGAAGTATTGAAACTTGAAATTTTTTGATATTTCACAAAGATTACTACACATATTCACTTCATTTGTCAATGGGAGTAAAAGATTATAACAGTTCTTTCTAACTTATAAGAGAGTTTATGAGAACTATTGAACATGTTGATTTTTAGCATTTTCTAACTTGTCTCTGAAAATCTATGAAACGAAATCTAAGTAGACCTTCGATTAATCTTTTCAAAACAATGTTTCCTTTTATTAGTCTCAGTATTTAATCATTTTCTTCATAATATTTCATTTGATATAAATAATTTAACTCAATAAAAATATACATATGTACATCTCTTTAACCATCATTGTTAAAGAAGATAGAACACAAAATTAAGTTGCCATATTATCTTTTCTTTTTTTTTTTAGTATATACTTGATGTCTGTATTAAATTGAACAAGTCCAAAAATATTTATATTTATATTGATAGAGCTGAAAAAGAGAATATCTAAGTAAGAGTTAGTCCTTTTCTAATGCATACAAGACATCGGCTCGTTTTGTCAATAATTGATTTTTTATATATTTTTCATTATGGTTTTTTGCATATATTTATTTTGATGTTTGTTCAGATTTGAAATTTCATTGAGATTCATTTCTTTGCATTCAAAAGTGTATGAGATTAGTTATGAAAATGATTTTTAAATTTATAAAAAAAAAGAAATGATCAAAAAGAGAACAAATTGAAATATACTCAATTAGAGTTTGATAATTATGAATAAAATACAAGTCATCTATTATCTTTTCAAGGAAAAGAAATAGGATACAATATTAAGTATTATCATTCATTCTTTTGTTGAATCACAATTGTTATTATCCAATTTGTGCCAGCATTGAGTTATAGATCAAGCAGAATGATATCGAATAGAAAAGATCGAATAAAAATTGGCTTTGTATGAAAATGTAACTTAGTGACATGCATTTTTGTTAAATGTTGTATTTTTTTTCTTTTCTTTCTGCTGTTTGACTTGTTGTGATGAGTCATGACACGTTGTTGTATCTATGTTCTCTTTCAAGTAATGACTTATTTTGTTGGTTTCTTTGGATCTCTATATTCTCTTTTGGTTTCTGTTTCTCTCAAGTCAATAAAACAAGTTATTCACCTTGATCTCACCATTGTCTATTACGCATTTCGTAATATATGAGAGAAAAACAGATAAAAAAATTCAGAACAAAAGAGTAATAATTTGAAATTTCAGGTGTAAATTTGCATTTGACACTGAATAAATTTACTTAATAATATTAGATGAAACTAGTTGATTGATTCAAATAAATTATAGAGAGACTAAAGCTATGCTGTTTTGAAAACAAATTAACTTATAAATATATATGAATATATTCTTAGAACTTGGAAAATAATCTATTTATACTTTTTAGATTGATAAATCGAGTAAAACAACGGTTAATGTGAAAACTTTTAGTTTTCTAATCATTTATGTATTATTATTGATTTTTCTTCTTTGTATATATAATTAGATGAATTATTTTTTTTATTATTAATACAAGTTTCATGTTATTTGGATTTTTTCCTCTTGATCAATTGTTAATGTTGCTGTAAGATAAACATGAAACTTAATAAATAAATAGATGTTATTCAATATTAGTTTGATAAGTAGATTTATGTTCTATGCTAAGGATGAAAGAGAAAATATATATTTCTGTTTTCTTTTCCTGTCATTCTTTCAAAGGAAAAAGTGACATGGAATGTTAGAACATATGATTTGTTGGTTGAGGGGCAAAAGAACGAATAGAAACCATAATGTTATTGTACATTTAAATTCTATTCTACTTTTGTTACTTGTAAACATGAAACAAGGAAAACTGGATAATCTATAAGTTTAATCAGATTTTATATAAAAATGCTTTATGTAAATTTATTATTGGAATATAAACTTATTTATATTAAATAGAATTTGATATATTCTGATATTTTTTTAAAATAAACAACTATTTTATTTGTTTTATCAAAAATAAATCAACTAGATTTAACATTTGTTGAGAAAAGAAGAATATTTAGATTTTGATCTGTTTGAAGAAAATAAAGAGAGAGAAATCTGTTTTATAGTATTATGTTTAAGTGGCAATTGCCTCAGATCTAACAAAGTTTTCGAAGTTATATGAAATTCTTGGATAGTATGAGAAATTAAAATGTTTGAAACGAATAGTTTTTGATAAAGATTTTACAAGATAGAGATACTGTTGTTTGACTTTGACTATTGATAAAATAGAGAAATTGTATTTGACTGAATTCAAAATAGTGCTTATAATGTGTTAGAATAGGAAGTCTTTTCGAATGTTGAGATAATGTTTCCTTGTGTTTTTCCAGATATTCTATTATAATTATAGATAAATGTGCTGCTCTGCTCAATACTTGCAAATTAATCGATCATAATTGTTGTGTACGAAAGGGTTCTTGGTCATCAAACTCTTTTATGTTACATTTTCCAGTTATTGCTAAGAATAATTTCAATCAGCAATTTGAGTTTTGAGGTTTCGACTACTGGTAAAAACTGCGGAGAAACAAAATTCAATACTCTATTTAGGTGAACTCTCCTAGACCTGTCCTAATGACGCCATTAATTATTAAATTTGGGAAAGACATCTGGGACTAGTGCCCGGTGTGACCATAAAACCGTGACCAAAGAAAAAAAGATTATTCGCTAGTAATGTACATGTTGAATATGACAAACATATTTTTGACTTGATTCTTCGTATTCAGAATTTTCTTCTCTACAAAATGATGTATGAAACTTGAGAATTCAATAATCTATAGACGAGAAAACAATGATACATTTGTCGTGACCAGTTCTAGTCACGGTCAGTCACGGAAGTTTCTGGTGACGACAAATATGTCGTTGTTTTCTCTTCTATAGATCATTTTACTCTCAACTTTTATATATCATTTTAAAGGAGAGAAAATTCTGAATACAAAGAGTTAA